GTGATTCTTATCATATTGTTCGGTGTGATCGCAAATTTGCTAGTGTAAATCGTTCAAAAGGTGGTGGTGTTCTTCTTGCGTTATCCAATAAATATACCTGTACAGTAATTGATACAACACATTTTTCCGCTATAGTTCCTTTAATTGATATAGTTTTATGCAAATGTGTAATTCATACTTTTCATATTGTTTTAGGCGTTGTCTATATATCCCCTGATGTTTCAGCTAATGATCTTGATACGTTTACTTCAGCACTTGAACAATTCTTATTTAATGAGAAATTTATATTGATTGGTGACTTTAATGTTCCAGATTATGTTACTTCAAATAAACCTTTATCGAGTAAGTCAATTTCTTTGCAGCATTTTATTGATATCTTGGACATAACTCAGTATAATGATGTTATGAATTCTGATAATAAATTATTAGATTTAGTATTTGCAAATAAGCAATGGCAAATGTCAGTTACTCAATGCAATCATCCATTAGTTAGAGAAGATGTACTTCATCCTGTGTTGTTAATAACACTTGATGGTTTAGAAACTTCGAAACCTCTTAAATTTCCTCCAAATAATAAACGGGTGTACAATTTTCGTAAAGCGAATTTTCCATTGTTATATGATGCATTACTTAATATTGACTGGGCTTATCTTAAAGATTTAGATAATGTTAATCACGCTGTAGATCATTTTTATTCTGTATTATATAATATATTTGATGCGCATGTTCCAAAAAAGTGTCCCCGTAAAACAAGGTATCCCGTATGGTTCACATCTCAAATTATAGCTAATTTAAGAAACAAAGAAAATTATAGACGTAAATGGATAACAACTCACAATGAAACATATCAACTTGAATTTAAACGTCTCCGCAGTCTAGTGAAAATGCAGATTTCTGAAGCTCATAATTCTTACCTCGATTTAGTTCAAAGAAATCTTAATTCGAATCCTTCTAATTTATGGAACTATTTAAACCAACGACGTAGTTCTACAAGAATTCCTGGTCGAGTTCACAATGGTTTATCCGAATACACTGATCCACAAAGTATAGTTAATGCTTTTGCAGAAAATTTTTCGAAATCATATTCAAGTGATTCTCCACACATTCCATCTCAATCTTCCAGTAACGCTTTACCATTTCAATTTCCTTACGTCAGCCCAGTTGAACTTATTAATATAATGTCCAAGTTTCATGATAAATTCACAGCGGGAGACGATCTAATCCCGAGTTTCATTGTTCGGGATTGTAGATATGCATTTGCGGAACCATTATCACTTATTTTCAACCTTGCCATTAAAACTTCAACCTTTCCATCAAAGTGGAAATGCGCCAGGATCTGCCCAATTTTGAAGAAAGGTGATAGTTCAGATGTGTTAAATTACAGACAGATTTCTATATTGCCAAATTTTTCGAAAGTTTTTAAACAATCACTATATTTAACAATCTACAGTAATGTGAAAAAATATATCTCTCCCTATCAGCATGGCTTCGTTAGTGGTCGGTCTACAGTTAGTAATTTAGCCACTATCACGCAATATTTAAGTGAAGTAATTGATATTCGAGGTTAAGCTGATGTAGTCTACACTGATTTCACTCGAGCTTTTGATTCAATTCAACATAGTATTCTTCTGCAAAAGCTTGATTTGTATGGATTGTCGGAGGATTCATTGCTGTTAATGCGTTCTTATTTAAAAGACAGAACATCTTACGTTGCTTATAGTGGTTATGTGTCTTATAAATTCTCAGTTAATTCCGGAGTTCCGCAGGGCTCTAATCTTGGTCCTCTTTTATACATTCTATTTATTAATGATCTACTCGAACAATTTAGTTGGCCAGTCCTTGCATACGCTGATGATATTAAACTATATCACTCCATTGGCAGTGCAGTTGATGTAGATATCTTGCAGAATAATATCAATCTGATGATTAGTTGGTGTGACATGTTTAAGTTGCCATTGAACAAGGAAAAATGTTTTCTTGTCAAATACAGCCGTAAAAAAACTTCAACTCAATCGTCCTATGTGTTGGGAAATCATATTATTAAGCAAAAGAATTGCATGAAGGATCTAGGAGTAACTTTTGATTCCGAATTATCATTTCTTCCACATCTAGAGGTTGTTTGCACATCGGCGTATAAATCATTAGGTTTTGTTATGAGAACATGTAGGCATTTTTCTGACTGAACTTTAATTAAACAACTTTATTTTGCATATGTGTTAAGTAAAATTGAGTATGCAAGTCTTGTATGGAACCCTATTTATGTATCTCATATTATGGCCTTAGAGAAAATTCACAGACGGTTTTTAAAATATTTATCATTTAAAATTGATGGAGTTTATCCACAGATTGGTACTGATCAGCAAAATTTGCAAAGTCGACATAATATGAAGTCATTATTACAAAGGAGAGAAATGTGCTGTGCAAAATTTGCTTATAAGTTAATACACAATAAGATTGACTGTGCATTTTTACTTTCCAAATTACATTTTATGTGCCACGTTTAGCATCACGATATGAAGCAAGTTTTCAAGTGCCAACGGCGAGAACAAATGTTTTACAACGTTCACCGATTCATGTCATGTGTAAAGCTGTAGATAATGTATATAATGATGTATTTTGTTAGGGACACCCAGAAATTTGTTATATTTTTTCTTTTTTTATTGTTAATTTTCTTTATTTAACTTTATTTTGTTAAACACACTTAATAATTGTTATTAATATTGTCCTATAAGTGGTAAATCTGTTGGACAATAAAGAACATATTATTATTATTATTATTAATATTATTATTTATAAGTTATATCCACTGGTCCCAGATCCAAATTTCAGCTTCAAAGATTTACTGACTGTTTGCTCGGAACATTTTTTGAATATTTTCCTTTTTAGAGTCTCAATTTGATCCTTTGTTAATATATTTCCCAAATTTTTCCTTAAATTTGCATTACACACTTTTTGCAAGAATAATTTCTGGCTTAATTTTTTGTTACTAATTTTTAACATCCTAACCTATTTTCTTAGGGTTTTGGTTTTTTGATAAGCATGACATTTACTGAAATCCCACACTGTATGATCAACGCTAAGACTAGTTTGATGTTTTGTATTTAAAATTGTACATTGAACGCACTGTAACACCTCAGTCTTACATTCCTTGACATTGTGAGATCCAGAACATTTGGGGCATATTGGAAGTTTGTGAGAACATTATTTATAGTAATGATGGTAGCCACAACACTGGTAACACAATTTTATATCAATGGCGACATAAACAATACAATTTATGGCTGGCTATCCTAATTAAGTCGCGTAGCTGTGGCCATTTCAGTAGATGTGGTTTATAATGTAAATGACATGGTTAGGGAACTAATTTTTGATAAGAACATGTGAATCGACGGCGATTGGGCGGTTTGCTGGCATGGTTCGAGAGAGAACGAGAAAGCATTTCATTTCAATACAGGGGTTGCATCCCATTGGTTTTTGTTTGTTAGCCCTCCTGATGCCGGGTGGAGTCTCCACTTTTTGGCGAAGTAGTAAACGCTTAGTTTTGGTCAATTTTTGTCATTTCTCCGGTCGGGGTTTTGTAGTGCGCAACTCGTTCCTTCTCGACGCGAAATTTGCTTTTATTTGTTAATTTTGTTCAGAGGCTTTAGTTTTTATTTTGTTCAAAGTGTTTCAATTCCCAATTCTGATTTCCGTAATATCTTTTTTTCCCATCATTTAGCATTACTTTCAAAGCAGGTACATGTAAACTTCGATTTGGGTGGTTATTATCTGGCACATTTTCCGTTAAAATTCCGTCTTCTTCTTCATCTTTTGCTTCTTCTTCCTCGTCCATTGCTTCTTCTTCTCCACCTTGCAGAAAACTGGGATCTCGAATGGGACTGATGGAACTTGCTTCGGATATTTTGTCCTTCTGAGATAAGTTCATTCCCAGACTTTGAGCCTTATGTGTAGCATCGTCTTTTGCTCTATTTGTTTGTTTTAATATTTCTGCAACCGTTCGTAGTATCAGCTTTGTCATCCCGATTTGATTTTTACTATGTACCAATTTTTTGTTCTTCCCGAGGAAAATAAAAAACGTCTCCTACAAGTTGTAAACATTTAGAAATATATATCGAAACAGTATACTCGAGTGTGCACGGTCATATTCACATGTATAAATTAAGTACCAAGATCTGTGCTGATTTCATTAATTGCTTGAATACGGCTAAAATGTCTTAATATGTCTATCAAAGAGTAGTTTACCACTGATGAAAATGTAGTGGTCATTGATCGGGTCTGTCTAAATATCTTTTCACAAGGCTGGCTGCTATACAATCAAGGCAAAAACGTATCTTTTGTCATACTTGAGGAGATACCGTCATCCACTTTACTAAGTTTTTCAATTATTTTCAGAAGTCCATGAGCGTTAAGCTCGTTACAGGTGTAAATATTCAAACAATTGTTTCCTAAAGCGTAATCTTTACTTTCCATAATCCATTGTTCCCATAATCGAACGAAAAACGTCACATACCACAAATAATAAATTCTTTTCAATATATCCACAGAAGAAAATCCCAAAATTTTAATATTATATTTTGATGCTTCAGCTTCAAAGAAAGCGGTTGCCACTACTAAAAATTGTAAGGCAAAATGCGTACGTGCTTTCTTCTAATGGTTGGGCCATATGTACATAAGCATTTATGTAAATGGCTTCTTTTTCAAAAGCATTTTTAATGTCTTCTACGGAATTGACAACAAAATTATCTGACGACGGAAACCCGGTGACATTATTCAACGGCAAGAGAAAACCAACCATTTTATTACTTTTTGGGTCGTACTGTATTTTATTTTAGAAGTTTATTGTTAGTGATACTGAGTGTCTTTGCGTGTTAGTGAGTGTGGTGGGGCCGGTTTTGATTTTTGTGCATACAGTAAAGAATCCTCAAAATGCCTAAGGTAAAATCATCCATGAAAGATAAAATCAAATTATGGTTAGGGAATAATTTGGACACTAATTTTCAATTTCCTTCTTCAACCAAAGACAATGAGTTATTCTGCAAAGTGTGTGGAAAAGTTGTAGGTAAACATTTAAAATACTGAAGCTTGAATTATGTTCACATTTTTGTTTCCTAGTTTAACTGCGAAAAAAAAATCACACTTTGAACAACACTGCAGTGGCGATGCACATAAAAAGAACGAGAATAAATCCAGTAAACATACTTTATTAAACATTTGTTCCGACAATGATTTTACGAAATTTTGCACCGATTTATGTAGGGCATTTACCGCAGCAAATATTCCATGGAATAAAGTTAGTTGTCCTGAGTTTAAAAATTTTATGCATAAATATACAGGAAGGCATTTACCCTCAGAAAACACTGTGAGAAAACATTATTTACCAAAAGATTACGATATGGTGAGTACTAGAATTGTTTTTTTTTAACTTTTTAACATACATTTTATAATTTCCAGGTAACTAAACAAATTAGAAATTCTGTTGGCAATAATGATATATGGATTAGCGTCGATGAGAGGAGGGACAGATTAGGAAGATGCATAGCCCATTTAATAATTGGAAAGTTATCTTCTGAAGAAGCTGGCCGTCCATTTCTACTAGCTTTGAAGCAGCTTGATAAAACTAATAGCAACACAATCTCGAGATTTATAAACGAATCATTGGGTGTGCTATTGATAATTTTAAGCATTGAAATTATTATAATTTATTGAATTGTTAATTTGTAGCTTTATTGTGGCCAAAAGGAACTGAACATAAAAAAGTTAAATGGTTTGGATCAGATGGTGCTTCATACATGATCAAAACTGGTACTAATTTGAAGGTGTTTTATGAAAATATAACACACTTAACATGTATGGCAAATGGGTTACATTTAATGTCTGAAACAATTAGACTGTAAAAGTACTAATAAGAGTAGAATTTTATAAAAACAGTTTACCAAATACACCTCTCCCACCTGAACCTGTATTAACCAGGTGGGGCACTTGGATTCAAGCAGCACTTTTTTATGCAGAACAATTTGATGTTTTAAAACAAGTCAGTAAATATATAATGGTTTTTTTACTATCAATCTTATATTGAATATTTTTAGGTTGTATTGTCATTTGAAGCCACAGATGCACAAAGCATTAAAAAAACTCAAGAATTCCTGAATAAAGCAAACGTTAAAAATGAACTCTTGTACATTAAAACTCACTTTAAAATTATTGCTGATGCAATAGAACAATTAGAAACTATAGGTTCAAAATTAAACCAAAGTATGGAAATTGGTGGAAAAAGTGTATACATCTTTAAAAAACACACCAGGAAAGGTGGGGGAAATGGCGTTCTAAAAATTATGTTCTCTATTAAAAAAGAATCCAGAATACGATTTTATATGTTCAGTAAATAACGTAATTTGCGGTAATGGAAATGCTACCAACAATACATACATAAATGAAAACGTAGATTGTTCAATATTTAATTTTGCACCCATCAATTCTTGTGATGTGGAACGCACGTTTTCAAAACTTAAAAGTGTTTGAAGTGATCAAAGGTGTAAATTCACAATTGAAAATTTAGAGAAATACATAGTTTGCTTTTGTAAGTCCTTTTAAATACCTTAATTAATATTTTATTTTTTGTTAAGTGCGACTTGCTTTAATTTGATCACCATTTTTTTGCGATAACTTAGAATTAGTGGACGTAACTATAGATCGTTTATTTATTTTATCATTTTTTTTGTTTGTTACACAAAATATTTGTTTCTATAATGTTTTGTTTAATGTTTGCTTTTTAAATATATATTTTTTTGATGTATGCTTTTTCGTTGAGCAAATATTTTTTCCACCAGGTTTTTAACCTAAACCAAGATTTTTATAACCTAATTCGTCAATTTTGGGACTGTCGAATTTTGTATAAATGAATAAAGACCAGCGAACAGTAAGATAAATGTATATTGATAGTGACAAGTGTTAGGATAAATAAGAATGATAAGGATAGAATATTATGTGACCGTGCGGTCGAGATAGTTGAATGTTAGTTACGAATTGAGAATTGTGAATTGAATGTGTATGAATGAGTTAAGAATTAAGAATAAATGCTACCCTGTGTTCCAAGGTGGGGGTGGCTCTGGCTCCCACCCTTACGGGTGGGGATGGGTGAAACAGGTCCCCGCCAGAGGCTCTAACATACCCCCCGCCTTGAAACAATTACATTGTTTTAAGACCAAAAATAAACTATATGGAATATTAGAATGATAAATACAAATGAAATTACATGAATGGGATGGATATTGTTACAGAAAGCAATGAACATGAAGAAACGCATTAAACTTAAAAAAAAAGATATCTAAGACAAATTACATTGGTACAATATCAGCGAATACACAATATTTACAATAAACCTAAAAGTAAATTTACAACAATTATAATGTACCAAATCAATGAATAATACGACGAGTGAACAATATGGGGAATGAATATAACAATGGTACAAATATGAATACATAGAACATAGCAAAATAAATCAATAATGAGATGTATATAACAAATTGACAAGATGTATGCAATATGGTTAAATATAATGATAATGCATGCGATTGCGAAATTATCTTTTGCACTTCACCGACACTACACACACCACCACTTCCTTTCCAAAATGATGTTGGAGGGCCGCGTCCTAACCGCCACTGTAGACGCGGAAATTTCTCCTCCTTCACGAGGACCCATCTTGCCATTCCTGGAACGTTGGAAGATGGCCTTTGCCACCCTAACCTGCCTTTCAGTGTGGTCAAATATTCGAGGTACCACGACTTCCAGAAGTGTTGATGGTAAGCGTGGATGAGATGCCAAGGGATGGCCGGTTGATGGGAACGACGGCGTGGTCTTTTCCTGAGAGACCCGTTGATGGCTGGCCGAAAGAGGCATTGGCCAGGTACAGGGTCATTATAAAATATTGTAGTCGAAGAAGGCCATGATTTTGGTGACATTTTGTGCCGCCTTTTTCAGTTTTGTGGAAAGGATTACACTAATATTGGAATTTTTATTTTTAACGCCACATTAGTTGACATTAGCGGCTGCACTGTTTCAACGCTTCATCAAATTCTGTCAGATGTCAATAATTTTTTCGTTTGTACTGGTACGTTTTCCCTCACTTTGTGCGTTAATTGACTTGTCTTGTTTTCATTTTTGCTGTCTTCCCCTTTGTTAGAACTTTAATAAGTGTCTCAAAAAACAGTTTTTATCAAAACTACAGATCATTGTCGAATAATCTCAGGTAATGAACAGAGAGGAATAACTATGGTCAGTGTTACAAAAGATTTTTTTAGTTCTTTGGCGCAATCATCATGCCTATTACCGTAATGGGGTGTTAAATGAGGATGGGGATGGAGTGTACTCTGTGGAGGCGTCTAAAAACGAGTATCTAGTGAAATGTTCTGTTGTCATTGATGAAGAATCTTTGAAGACGCTATATGGCGAATTATGGCCAGATTTAACGACACTGGTAGCATTTCTAAGTGAAAACCGACGGGAAGACCTCAAGTTAGTGAAGACGTTGTTGAAGATTTAAGGATGAGAATGGAACAAAGTCCGAATAAAGCTTTCTCAAAAATCTTTACTGTCCGGAGTACCATACAGCCCATGTCAGAAAATCGTAAAAGAGAAGTTACATATGCATCCATACAAGATTTTGTCGGTTCAGGAGCTGCAACCAGCTGATTTTCCTTGCCGCGTTGGGTAGTGTAGTTGGTTTCAAGCTGATATGGACGATAACGGGATTCTCGATTTGTCGTTCTTTTCTGATGAAGCCTGGTTTCATCTGTTAGGCTATTATGTCAACTGACAGAACTTCAGAATTTGGTGTATAGAAAATACTCACGCTTTTGGAGAAACACCATCACACGCAATGAAGGTTGGTGTGTGGTTAGCAGACGACGATTCATAGGCCTGATACTTTTTCAAGTAAATGAATGTGATCAATAAACAAAATTAGATGTAGAAAGTGTATGTAGGTACTGCAATAAAGTTTTTTATTTTCAGTAACTTTCATTTTTCTTTCGGTGTTAGTTGCATTCTCTTAATTTAAAACTTACTTCAACTTACTGTTTAGTAATAATTGTAATTTTACTATTAGGAAAGTTAAAAATCTTTATTAAACATTCTGTTGTTTCAAGAGATCTCATAATCAGCTACAGAACTCTTAACACTATGCTCCTGAAATTTTATTGGTTTTTTCATCTTTTTTCTTATAGAAATTTTGAAAAATCTTGATATTAGGATGGCCATGTGGGCGTGTTTTGGGTAGAACCTCTTTGACATTCCTGTTATGCAGATCTGGCATGTTTCAGATATCTAGAAACTGCAAAGCTGAAGGTAATGTTTGGACATAGCAGTTTTCACCTATTGTAGGGATGAAGATCAACGCTTTCAGTTGTGTTTTTTCAAGAGAAAAGCACCGGTCACAAACCATGTCTGCACCAATATTTTGACGATTCCTTACAATTTACAAACAGAATTTTCGCGGGATCACAACTTTGGCAAAATTATGTACTGCAAAAACTCATTAGGTACTCATAGTGTTCGTTAACTGTGATAAGACTTGCTCTGCCATTGTCCATTACGTGATTTTTCACAATTTTTACCTTCAGGGTACCTATAAAAATGTAATTTTTTAAATAATTACCGTGTTCATTGGTTTCGACAAACTTAACCTCACTTTTTGGATTTCATTATTTGAAAAATTATTGCTTCTTTGCAAAACAGACCAGATGATTTATTCTGTTCAACTCCAATCGACTTTCCAAGGTGTAATTCATGACAAAGCCCTTAAACGTTTTTCTGACAATTTACAATTTTTGAAACTGAAATGTATTGCAGTGGCGTTCACAAATGCTCGATAACACTGCAACCCTTAATGCTCTGGTCTGGCGTCTTTTCGTGTATTTAAAATGAAATTAAACCGCGAACCGGGCATTTCAATTTTTGACACATCTGACAGATTTGTTTGGCCGTTCGTGACATTTCAAAACAGTTCAAATCATTTTGGTGATTAGCGGCACGAGAAAAATTTCATTTGTTTTTCATAGGTGAGTTGACTACAATATTTTATAATGACCCTGTATAAATGCGACCAAATTATTGCGGTCGCTGGACAGAGGCTTCGAAAGGCGCGAATTCAGGACGGCTTTAACTCTGACAATGAGCGCATACACGCCCTCGCCCTCAAGATGGTTTTTACCAGTAATTTCGTTATAACTCCGGCGATTCATATTTAAACTCTTTGAACTAAGATTGGAACGGTCAACAACCTCGCAAAGTTTATTGGAAGAAATGTGGGGATTTAGAATACAATTGTGTGACAGGTAAACGGAATTATTTGAGGAATTTTCCTTAAGTACCTTCAGGTGTACAAGGTCTAGGTACTTCCTTTGAGAGACAATAAAACCCTCGTTACGTTTATGATTATGCCCCTCTGCTAACAATAGCAGTTGGAGAGCGAGTTCTGGGGAATTTCCTAATTTATGTAGATTTTCGAAATAAGGGACTGTGGAATGCCCCAACTTCCTCTCGACTGATAATAGCCACTTTGGATGCATTTGTGTAAACCGCGGCTGATTTTCCGAAAAGGGGTGTTTGACCATGAAATAGCCATCGGGTGAATGGCCTGTGGTAGTATACTGAAAAGAGGTTGCACAAAGATCGCTTTTAAACCCTCTGCTTAATGACCTACTTCCGGTTTTGACGGTTTCAGCTTCCAAGAACCGAGAAATAATTTGGGCTGAACTAATTTTGTGATGATGGGAAGTATTATTTTTTAAATATGCAAAACTGCCGCTAAGAATCAACCCCAGCGCGGTATTTTGAAGCACCGGTGGGTTTTTACTGAAATGACTTGTTATTTTGGGTTTAGCATTTTCGGAATGTTTTTTCTTGTCGAGTATTGCTACGTTTGACGTGTTGTCTTTAATATTTGAGTCTACGGATTCACATAAATATTGCGACCTAATTTTAAATTGGTTACAGACTAACAATGAGCCACAGTTTTTTGAATTAACTGGAGGACTTTTTACTTTGTCTAGTGCGGTAGATGACTCTGCATTAGAAGTTTTATCTAAATTAATTTGAGATACGCCTTTGGAGTTGTAACAATCATTGAAAAGATTATTTTTCTCTTCATTGGGTGTTGAATTTGGAAATTTTGAAGGATTTG